TCCTGAGCTGGGGAAGGTGGGGACCCCAGCGCTCTGCCACAGGGACTCGAGCGTGCCGATGCCACCTGGCAAAGACCTCAGGCAAGGTGTGCACTGGGCAGGGGCTGGGGATTTCCCAAGTAGTAAAACGTGTTTTAACACCTGTCATGAAACAGCGTAAGCTTGCGCCCGAGTAACTGGACTAACAGAAGGGACTCAAGACTTCAGAGACAGCCCCAGTCCCTGGGGGAGTTGCTGTTCCAAGTGAGGAGGGGGAAATGGGCTTTTTAAAAATGTGATTGCAGGGTATTTGCAAGATGGTAAAAATTGACCCGCACCTCCCTCCGTTTCTAAGTGCAGGAGCCAGCGGCCAGAGTTCTGTGTGCAAAATGAAGTAACAGGAACTTTGGGAAAAGATTGGGTGAACCCCTTTGTAGCCTGAAAGTGGGGGGAATCCGTCCTGTGTTGACTCAAACCTCCAAAGAGTTAGAGAGAAAGGTTTGTAATTAGACTCCATTCTCCTCCTGCATGGCAAAAAATATCCAGACAGTTTTCTTTTCTTTTTTGGCGGCACTGGGGCTTGAACTCAGGGCTCACGCTTGCCAGGCAGGCGCTCTATGGCCAGAGCTACAACTCCAGCCCTCTGGTGCTCTGGCTGTTTTTCAGATAGGGTCTTGCTTTTGGGGACCTTCCTAGCTACACTGCCCGCAGCAGCTGGGATAACAGGAGTGGACCGCCACACCCAGCTTTTTCTGCTGACGTGGGGTCTTGGGAACCTTTTGGCCCAGGTTGGCCTGGAGCTGTGATTCTCCTGACTTCTGTCCTCCGAGCAGCTGGGATTACAGGCCTGAGCCACTGCACCTGGCCTTAAAGTCGATTGATTTTGAAAGAAAGCAAACACTGATCATTGAAGCAACAGAACAAAGTACTGAAGCGAACACACTTGATTCTGTGTTACGTTGGTGACGTAGCCACGGAAGGAAAGCACAGGAACTGCGACTGAATGTGCGTGGACTGCTGTGGTCCAAGGACACACGGGAATTGCACCTCACGAGTTCTGTTGTTAGTCAGAGGTCCTGAAACTGCACGTGAAACTCATAGTGGGAAGAGAAAGAAAACAATCACGCTAAGGCTTCCAAAACAGACTTCTTTAGGGTAAGAGAGAAGATGTTTACAAAATAAATTCAAGGCTGACAATCTTAAATTTGAACTAGAAATAACAGTGTGAACTCAAGAGATTAAAGAAATATGCATTTTGCTCTGTCCACTGGGAAGGGCTAAAGGGAGCGATGGGGGGGGCAGCCCGCACTCCTGCCAGCACCCGAGTTGCAGTCTTTAAATACCATAGACACGGAATAAAAACGAGCCCCACAGAGGAACAGCTCCACGCGAGCTCGGAGCAGGAAGCTCGAGGATCCTAGGGCATCCTGCCGTATGAAAAAGCAAAGACATCAACAAACACTAGTATCCTCATGGCAAGGGGCCCAGGATGTGCTGGGCTCGGTGCCTCACGCCTGTAATACCTGCTGCTCGGGAGGCAGTGATCGGCAGGATTGAAAGGTTCGAGGCCAGCCCAGGCTAAAAGTTAATGTGACCCTGTCTCAGCAACAACAGACATAACCAAGCCAGGCACTGTGCGACACACCTGTAATCCCAGCTACTCAGAAAGAAAAGCAGGAGGATTGTGGTCCATGCCGGCTCTGGCAAAAACCTACGACCCTATCTCAAAAATAAGTAAAGAAAAAGGGCTGGAGGTGTGGCTCAGGCGGTAGCGTGCCTGCCTAGCAAGTGCGAGACCCCAAGTTTAAACCTCGGTGCTGCCAAAAACAGTAAAAATCAAATTTAGAGTCCAGGATGTGAGGGGGCTTCCCAGGTTAAACGTGGGTGAATTTGGGACAGGGATGACTGTTGGATACATAAAACCTGTTTTTGCAGTTCTGGGGTTTGAACACAGGGCCTTCACCTTGAGCCACTCCACCAGCCCTTTTTTGTGTTGTTTTTTTTTTTTCCAGATAGGGTCTCATGAACTATTTGCCCAGACTGGCTTTGAACCTCGATCCTCTGATCTCTGCCTCCTGAGTAGCTGGGATTACAGGCGTGAGCCACTGTGCCCGGCTAATTTCTTAATAACACTCAGGGAAAGAGAAGTCAGGATGAAAAAGAAGGAAAGCAAGCTCTGTTTAGCGCTAGAAGTAACTAGGGGACCTTTCCTTACTCTGATAACTGGTAATTGAAGAATTAAGTATTTTTTCTTCTTTTCTGGATTCTGGAGTATCTAAATAGTTTGAGGGAAGTGTTTCTTTTCAGAGTTCCAGCCACTCAGTGAGGGAGGACTGAGAGAATAACTGACTCAGGTAAGATCACAGGGGTGACACCAGTGAATGAAACCCCTATGGGGAAACTGACAGTGCGGGGACCAGGCTGTCATTTAGAATCCCCGAGACCAGGGCAGGAGGCCTCTGGGGTCCTCACTGGCTGTGTGCCCCAAGCATGCACCCAGGACGTGGTAGGACAGAGGGAAGGAAGGAAGAATGGAGGGACAGGGACAGACCAGGAAAGTGGGGACGCATTTCAACGAACTTCCAGCTCAGAATTGTGTCCAGGACACAGGGACAGAACAGTGGCTAAGGTGGCACAACCAGGAGGGGGGCAGGTCACCCCCCACCCCGAGCCTGGACACTCCAGGGACGAGGGACTGAGCATTTCTGTCACCAGGTAATGACATGAGGAGAACAGGGCGGGTGGGGGAGGCCTCTGGACAAAAAGAGGTGCCATCTGCAGTGACAGGGGACAGACCAGTGACTGCCTGGAGCGGGGAGGGTAGGGAGGGAGGGAAGCAAGGGGTGCGGTGCTTTGGGGGTGACAGGTGGGTTTGTTCTTAGGGGTGTCTCTGCTGGTTGTCATCAGTGATCTGACTATGAACACAGGTAGGTCCTCACATGTCATTTGTACCTCAACACAGACACTTCAAAAACTGGGGAGAGGTGGGTCTGGGATTTGAACTCAGGACCCAGTGCTTGCTAAGCAGGTGCTCTACCACCTGGGCCACTCCCTCAGCCCTCTTTGCTCTGGTTGTTTTTGAGACGGAGTCCGTGTTGAGCCTCTCCCCTGTGTGGCTGGGATGGCAGGTGTGTGTCACCACACCCAGCGGTTTTTTTTTTTTTATTGAGATGAGGTCTCACTAACTTTCTGCTTTTTTTGAACTCCCATCCTTCCGATCTCTGCCTCCCAAATAACTGGGATTACAGGCTAGAGCCACCACGCCCAGCTAAACGTATTTTGAAAGACTTAAGAGAAATAACAACACAAAGCAAAACACGAACCTCCCTTTATGTGGATTCTGATCACAAAAACCCTAGTAAAAAAACGGTTTGGGTAAAGTTGGGGACATTTTCATGTGGACCAAACCAAGATATTATTAAGGAATTCCTATTAATTGTGGCATGACAATTGTGACAGAGTATGTCCTTATTTTAAGGCAAAGTTCTCACTGACGTGACACAGACATTCGGGAAAGTGCACAGACCGCAGGAGTGCACAGAGCAAGGCCACACATCCTCCCACATCCGAGCACCCTGGCATCGTGAAGGCCGCAGCACCTCTCCTGTCACTGTGCCCCCACCGGCCCCCGGGCAAGCAGCATTAACACCAAGGCTCACCCTGCCCTGTTTCAGAACCTGCCCTTAGTGGACTCCTGCTGTATACAATCCTCCCGATGACTGTGCATGGGTTTTACGGGGTGTGTGTGGTGAAACGACGTGTGGTCTGCTCGGGCCTCACGCCAGGGCCTAAAGCTGAGGTCCCCAGCCTCCTCTGCGCGCCTGAGCTCGCTGCGACCGCCAGGCCCTCGGCCAGCACAGGCCGCCGCCGGCCCCGTGGCCCACCCAGCTGCTCTGCTGATGACTTTCTGATGCTAGAATTGGTTTGGTGAGGCACCGCGATGCCCCTAGAGCTCCGCGTTGCCTTCCGTCACTTTGGGCCTTGTTGTCTTGATCAGATGGAGACGCAGCGTCACTCGTGACTTTCTCGCTCCGTGGATCAGTCCCGTCCGGATGGCTCCTGCTCTGAGGACCCTACGTGGATTCCCAGGAGTGTTTGCTCCGTGAAACCTGTCAACAGGTGTGTGGGATTCCTGCCCGAATTTACGAGCAATTTCCAGAAGTGAGCTGTCCTATAATCCAGGACAAGTGCAGGCTCGAGAGCCACCAGGTTTTACCACACGCGGTAACTGCGCTCAGAGTTCACTGCAGCTCACGATTTGGTTTTTTATCTTTGTCCCCTGCCCTTATCGGGACACGGAGCTGGTGTCACATGTGGGACTCATTTGTGCCTGCAGATCCAGCCCTGTCCCAGGCCCCCTGGGATCCTGAGCTTCATTCTGCCTCAGGCCCAGGCCCTCCATGCTTGCTCTGGCCCTTGGCGTCAGTCCAGGGTCTTTTCTGTTGTCCACTCTGGGATCCTGTGCCATCGGCCCCCGCTGTCTCCTCTCACTCATGTCCTACAGCTCTGTGTCGCCTCCCGGCCTCCTGTGTCCCCCACACAACCTGAGAGTTCATCCTGAGCCGAGGAGGGAGGACTTTCCTCCCGAGGACGGGGACAGGGATGGGGGAGAACTTCTCTCCTTCCCAGGAGAAGCTGTCAGGTTTTTCTTACCTCCAGCTCCTAGAACGGGGCCTGCAGCTAGAACTCGCTCTAGAAATACTGCTGGACCAGCGCGACAGAAACTGCACCGAGCAAAGGATCCACTGGTGTATTTGGTGACACATGGTGACGAGAATTTTTACAAAGTCTTTCAACTGTGCTGGTAAATTGTGGACCACGGCTTGGGTTTTATCCCGGTTCTCATTTCTCCCTCACCTAACAGGTCCGATGCCTGTCCTTGTCCCCCATGTCCCCAGTGTCCTGTCTCTATTTCTCCTCCTCCCCAGCCACCCCGAGTCCTGCTGGCCGTTGAGGAGTCACAGCAGGGTGGCAGGTCCCCTCCCACCCCCCGCCGATCCCCGGCGTTATGGGACCTGTACCTGCCCCTCCACGATCCACCTGGAGATGGCTGTCTTTCCGTCGTAGCCGGGTCTGAACTGCAGCGTGGCCGAGCGGGGGCTGATGTTGGAAATGACCAGGTTGGATGGGGCCCCGGGCAGGTCTGGAGGAGGAGGAGAGAGGAAGGTAAGAGAGGCAAATCCTGTCACCACCTAGGACTTGTCGGCAAGGAAACCACCGCTTCAGAGGGACTCTCAACGAAAAAACAAAACACAAGAGCGAGACGCAGCTCGGTTTCCCTGGGATAGCATCACAGCGTGGGTTTTTTGGTTCTGTTTTTGGTGGTACTGGAGTTTGAACTCAGGGTCTTGTGCCTGTTAGGCTGGTGCTGTACCTTTTGAGCCACGCCCCCAGCCCTTTTTGGGTTTTTTAGTTATTTTTCAGATAGGGTCCCAGGCTTTTGGCCCAGGGGCCAGCCCCAGACAGTGACCCTCCTAATTACAGCCCCTCGCCCCTGTGTAGCTGGGACGCCAGGGGTGTACCACCACTGCTGGCTTGTTGGTTAAGATGGGGTCCCCCTGACTTTTGCCCAGGCTGGCCTCAAACTGTAAGCCTGCCCTATTTCCACCTCCAGAATAGCTGGGATTACAGGTGGGAGCCACTGAACCTGGCTTAAATTGTGTGTTTTTTTTACCTTAATAGGATCACCTCTAGGCTGCAGGCCATCTGAAGTGCAGGAGGACACCTCTTTTTCATCTTTGTGTGTGGTAGGTAATTAATAGACACTTGCTGGATGCAGAACGGACGTATGAATGTGAAACCGCCTCCCTCCTCCACACTCCATGCCAGGAAGGAGCGTGCACAGCTGTTTCTCTTTCCCACGATGTCCTGAAGGCAGCGAGGGAAGGGGCCGGAGCGGCACAAGGCCGGGGACTGCTTCAAAACAGCCTGACACTGCCAGTGTCCAGGTCTTGAGCCTTAGGCTTGTCGGGTCTGGTTTCCATGACAACTGAACGCAGGTGACAGGGCAGAACTCTTGCCACGCTGCATGTTTTCTGTTGCTCTGGCAACAAAATCAGATGGACGGGTCCCATTGTCTGTGGTTTTCTACGGCCACCTTACCTCATAGACAGAGGCCGCCATCTACGGCCACCGCTCCCTCGAGAGCCTGTCCCAGCAGACGTGTGACAAGTGTGTTCACATGGGTGTGCTGTATTGCGGTCATTGTGAAACAAACACTGGGAACGAGGAGGGACAGCTGGCCCGCACCCCGCTGTGTGTGGCTTCCTAACGGGCATTGCTGGACTGGCCCTTGAGGGACGAGGAAACCACTCTGTCATCAGCTTGGCACTGGCCCAGGCCGGGTCCTAGGCCCTCAAGGTCCTCTTGTGCCTGGTTTAATGAGTCCGGACAGAACGCGTCTAAACCAAAGGACAAGTGACTCGTCTTTCTGCTCGGCGGCTCTCTGGATTCCTGAGCGTTCTTCAGTCTCCGATGGACGTAAAACCTCAGCACCACAAACAGAGCAGCCCTGGAAGGGACCTGGTGACGGGGGCGTGATCTGAGCCACAAATGTGAACCCTGCCTTCCTGCACACCAGCCATCGTGGCTTGTCCCATACAGCAAGGACCAGAAATGCTGGCTGGTCGGTGAGCCCGTTTCCTGCCTGGGATGGACAGTGTCCAGGCCACCCCAGGACACCCTGGTAACTCACACCAGGTGCACTCCAGGGCTCACCTCTGGTGTACACAGCTGTTTGTTTGTTTGTTTGAGCCAGGGTCTCCTTATGTAGCCCAGGCTCACCCCAAACTCGTGATGTAGTGCAAGCTGGCCTTGAAACCTACCATCTTCCTGCCCCGGCCTCCAGAGGGCTGGGATTACAGGCATGAACCACCACACCTGGCTTCACGCAGTCATTTTAAAAATATTGAACAGTATGCTATCACCACAGCTGCTGTTCTGAAAGTACTAATGGCATTTCAAATGCGTGCTTTGGGAGGCGGGTTTACATACTTTAAGTGTGTGTTACGAGAACTGGCTATTGTGTAAAGTAAATGAAGAAAAAGGGAGCCTTTCTGTAAGACAGAGACGTACAGCCGTGCTGCTTGCCGTAGCTCGAGGGTTCTCCAGGTTGTTCTCCCCAGGCAGCAGTGATGGTGCCCTTAGAACTTTCTCCTGGGCAAACATGCTCAGGGTGGGGCTGGCTGTGTTGTATGACACCCTGTGACTCAGGTGTGCACAGCACCATAGGGTCACTGCCTTGGGAGGACAATGGTCTATGGGTGGACGGAAAGGCTTCTTCAGGGCTCCTCCTGCTGGCGGGGAGGTGACCCAGGTTCAAAGGAGCACTGTGTCCAGCAAGTACCACAGAGGTCACCGTGCCCAGCAGAGCCACCTGCTCACACCAAACATGGACTGTTGATTGTCCCATTCCTGGGGCCACCATGAGGACAGATAGGGACCATGAACACCTGGGCTTCAAACACTGCTCAGGTCGTGTTTGTTTTGTGTGCTCTTCAGATCACGGTGCCACTCCATCAAGAAGGTGACCGGGCTGGGGGAACTGAACCGGAAGTGGGGGTTCTCTTTCAGACCCCATCGCTTTTCCAGAGACTCAAATAAGGCAAACCAATGTCGTTTCAATGGCAGGGGGCTACAGCTTTAAGTATAGCATCAGACTGACAGTCCCGCTGTACTCTGTCACGGTCACAGGTGTGAGAGTTCACCCTGGGTTTGCCCCAGCCTTAACACTGGAAAGCAAGAGCCGAGGGCAATTGTCCTAAGTGGAGAGGAGCACGTTGGGAATTTAGGAACCCGGCCCAGTTCCCAAAGGACAGAATGGCAGGTGCAAGCTGTGCCCACCCTGACGGCGAGGTCCTTCCTCCTCCTCCTCCTCCACCTTACAACCCTCCATTTGCTGAGCCGCTCAGTGGCTGATGCTCGATGGTAGCCAGAATTTCAGGGTGAGTTTTTCCCATTTGCCTTTGTGAGCTCGGAGGATGGGGACCTTGGACTCTGGAGGCCAGGCTGAGTAAGTAGGGGGCTTCCAGCTTTCCCTGTAGAATAGCTCTCTGTTCTTACTGACCTGGGGGTACCCCGGAAGAGATGGTGGACGTTGTCGCCAGGCCCACCCCTGCGGCCGTCACGGCAGCCACGTCGATGGTGTAGGTGGTGAGGGACAACAGTCCCTTGATCTTGTACTCGTGGGTCGTGCTGTTGAGGGTGTGTGTGAGGCGAGAGCCATTCTTTCCGTACACCTCCCAGGAAATCTGATAGCCTGGAAGGACAAATGAGAACTGAGTCAGGCCCTCCACCAGGCTGGGCACCATGCCACCATGATGGTGGCAGGTTTGGGACAGCGGGGCGGACCACTCTGCTGGACATGCCCTGCAGAAGGAAGACACAGGAACCTCAGCTGTGCCCTTCTTGTACCACGGTGGCCTGTCTTTCCCCCACAGGGAGGACAGGGCATGGCTGGCGCACGGGCTAATGAGGGATGAATGTGACTGACAGCTCTGTTCTGTCAAATGAGGGTACCTTCTACCAGCATCCCCATTTTTATAGGATGCTATTTTCCTGATCTGCCGCTCTGAATCAGGGCCTTGCTCTCGGGTTGCAACTAATTTGTTGGCACTAAAAGTAGAATCAGGTTTTCCTTTGTGGGAATGATTGACAGGGCGCTCTTCCTGCAAGTCTGGAAAAGTTCCTTTCACCTGAGTGCATGGGTTCTGCTTCTAGCTCTGCCTCTGCACTTTTGGGATATCCTGTTCTCTAGCAAAATTTAATCCCCCCTCCTCCCGCCCCCCAGTTCTCAGTTCAGTCCGACGGGAATTTGTGACCACAATTTATTCAACCTCAGACTCCGTTGTGACTTGGAGCTTAAAGAAAGGAAGACTCAACGCGTGTCTGAATTAACCCCGCGGAGGGATTTTATGCGATTAGCGAAGAATTCGGTGTCTTTTAAAGGAGCTCTGGGGTCCACAGGAGGAGAACTGCTGAGAACACTGGTTCACCCCTCTTTTCAGTCAATAAACTTGGGGTTCTGCACACCAGGCCCATCTCAGCTTCTGTCGCATCTGGCGAAAGTAATGAAGTTAATCTGCCTCGAGATGAGCTGGAATCGAGGCGACAGTCTCAGAACTTCAATATCATGACAAAACATGAAAGTCAGAACGCTCCCTGGACACAGGGACTGTGGGGCACTGCCGCATGGCAGAGGCGATGTCGCTGTGCGAGGGTCTTTGCCCAGCCCCGTGGTCACCTCCTTCCCCCATGTGGACTCACGGATGCTTCTAGGTTCCTGATCTGTGTTTCCCCCCCAACGGTGCAGGCCCAGGTGACCCCCATCCAAAGCTGCCCCTGGCCACCACCTCCTCCCTTTGTGTGCTGTTCCCACACAATGCGCGGCCTCGGCCTCCCCTCCTTCTTCCCGCCTCCTCCACCCGCCCCGCTCATCTCCGAGAACCAGCGCTAAGATCAGGGGCTCCTCACCAGCTCTTTCCTCCTGGCTAAATTTGAAATTTGGGGGGAAAATGGTACAATTAAAACAAAAACCTTCAGGGCAATGAAACTCACAGCATCAAACACTGGAGAGTGTTCGGGATGCACCTGAGAGCGTTCTAAGCCCTTTGTGCGGACTAGTTCACTCGGTCTACCCATTAGAACTTGGACCTTGGGACATGGTACAGGGAGCTTCAGGAATTTGCTAGAAACCCCCGGCCTGCTCCCGGGCCTGGGCCTCGCGCCTTCTCAGCGCTCCCAGGTCCTGCGTCCTTTGCCACCTTTGCTGTGTATTTGGGCGAACACCACAGACACCCCTGACCGGGTGGGCTAGGCCTGTGACTCTCCAGCCAATGTGGCATCCTGGGCCTGCTCTGAACGCATGGGAAGAGGAAGCTTCTGTGGTGAGGCTGTCGCCTTGTCTGCTAGGGAACTGTATTGGTTTAAGAGCTGCTTTTTCTCAAAATTCACTAAACATGGCGTCTCGTCTGTCATGTCAACCTGTAGCTGAAACACAGCAGTTTTGGCGGCTTTGGTAAGTGCAGCATGGCGGGAACTTCTCAGGCTCTGACGGATGATGCAGTGTGCTCGGATTGTTACAAATACAAACCCAAACCGAGGACAACTAAAGAGACTGCTCTGCTCCGGAGGCCCAGGGACGACACTGGCAGAGCAAGCGCTGTCCTGGGGGCTCCGATAAAGGTGCAGATGGGCACAGTGGCGGGCACGGGGTGGGCGAGGGCGCCCTGCTTCTGCACGCGTGTGGACTCTGGCAGCTGTGGTCAGCAATGGTTTCACTGGTTCCAGTGGAGAGGACAGGACAGGAGAGGAGAGGAGAGGAGAGGAGGGGACAGCAGGGACAGGAGGGAGGAGAGGGCGCCTGGAGCCAGCAGCCTGGGTACCTCCAGCTCTCGGCGTCCTACCTGCTCTGAACGGCCACCTAACTGAGACTAACGAGCACGGGAGCCTCAGGAATAATTTTCTGTTGATCTGAAGTAAATTGTGCAAGGGAGCAGGGGGCGTCCAATCCCAGGCTGTCTCTCTGCATCCTGGCCCTCATAAATCAGAGTTTACAGGGGGGAATGGGAGACGCTGAAATTTACAGTGGAGCAGGATGGGCAATTTACTCCAGGCTGTGAGCGGGCGGGCGAGCTCCCCTCTCACTCCAGCCCCAAATTAAAACGGGGGCAGGGCGGGCGCCCATCATGGGCCTGGCCTCCCACAGGGCTCCCGGATCATAAAACACACGGTGCCCAGCGAGGGTCAAGTCAATAGCCGCCTGTAACAGCAGCTATGCATGTGAGGAACGTCTTCCACAGGGTGACGGCCACCAGCAGCATGGGGACCCAGAGGCAGGTGTGCTGGCCATCACAGCTTTTCTTTAGCTGTGTTCTGTAAAACACCTTCTGCTCCAAGTAGGCCTTTCTGGGGCTGCTGGCACATGTGGCCATGTCTGTTTGGGGGTGCCACTGTCAGGTACGGCATCCAGAGTAAGGGGTACAGCACCGAGGGCAGGTGCCACAGGGAGGTAGGTGACTGGGTGATATTCCTAGTGACACTGCCATCCAGTCTCACTCTGAGGCCTTTCCCTGTACACACAGAGCTGTCGGCATCCGCCACAGCTTCTGGGAACACAAGTGCACTTCAAGGTGGGGACAAGAGTGGACAGACACATAGGCCACACGTGTGTGGGGATAAAAGTGGCCCCCAGAGAGGAAGTGCGGAGTGGGCCACCAGACCTCCACGGCTGGCCGGTGACAGCAGCATGGTCCACAGAACCCGACTCAGAGCAGCCGGAGCGCTGAAAGCCAAGGCCACAATAAACCATAGTCGGCTGCTTGTAAGTACAGGTGTTCGTTTCAGTGAACTGAGACAGTGAGTTCATTACGCCCCATTAGCTGGCGGGAACGGACGAGCATAAATTGTAAGTATTGGCAAAACAGTGAGCTTTAAAGCGAGAGCGAGGCAGCATGGTGCTTGGGGGGCGAGGCCCGGTGCCTGTGACCGTGACCCCAGACAGACGCCCTCTGTCTACCCAGGCACCCAGGCCAGGTTTCTAGAGCGCAGGTAACTTGGAAAGCCCAGTGGGCACATGGGAGTTGCCGGCCTGTCAAGGGCACATGTGGCTTTAATTCAGATCCTGGGATTGGTCCCCGAGGGTCTGAGCTGGAAAGACTGTCCTTTCCCACGGCGTCCTGCGATGGTTTGTACCCACCCCACTCTGTTCTGCTTTGCATCTCCATCTTCTGTGTGGCATAAAGTAACGACCCTGTTTCCCACCCTGTCCCTCTCTGGCCACACTTGGGGGTGCTGGGGGTCCTCCTTGTTTACAGGTCAGCGCATGGAGGCCACACTGAGAAGACCAGGGTGTTGGGTGGTCTGAGGTTTCACGTCCAGTTCGGTAGGGACTGTTCCTAGACCAGGAGGGAGGACACTGTTCCAAGTGGACATTTCAAAGTAGGAGCTTCTCGTAGGCAGAGCCCCATGGGTGGTTGACTTTAAAAGTTAGGGTGTAAGCCAAGTGTGGTGGTGCACGCCTATAATCCCAGCACTCAGGAGGCTGAGGCAGGACGATTGGGAGTTCAAGGCCAGGCTGGGTGACATAGCAAGACCTTGTCTTCAACTCATCGTTAAATAAGTAAATGAAATAAAAAGTAAAAGGGTTTGAGGTGGCGTGAGCTCCAACCAAGACCCCATGCGTGGGCTCTGAACTCCTGCTGCAGGAGGGCTCTGGTGGACACAGCAGATCACAGAATGTCACCCATGAGTCATGGTGGGCAGGCACCAGTTTTGCTGCCCGGGACTCTGCAGTGATCTCCTGGGAGCAGTGACCCTGCTGAGGTGACACCCAAGGACACTTGGGTGCCTGAGCTAGCGTGAGGAGTTCAGTCTCAACACCCACAGGAAGTGACCCTGTCCTCGGGGCTGTGGCTGCCACATGGCCAGGAGGACCCTCAGTTGCTCCCAGGAGCGCTGGGCCCAGGTCAGATCCACTCCAATAATTTGTTCAAAGTGACAGGGCACACTTGTCCTTTTCTCTCAGAGGTAGGGGCACATACCTGTAATGACACCGTTTTTCTCCAGGGGCTCCTGCCAGCTGATCTTCAGAGATGTGTCTAGAATCTCCGTGAAGCTCAGATGTCCCACAGCTCCGGGCTCTACCAATTAAAAATACAGACGTCTGTTAACAGAGCCTGATTCCCTTTGATCAGATTTGTGTGGAACGTTCTTACCACGGAAGGGAGGTAAGTAGTGAGCCAGGGTGGGCAGAAACCGGTAGGACACTCCAGGAGGAATGCAAGAGGGACACTAAAGGCGTCCTAGCCTTCATCACGTAAAGTTATCTGGCCCAGCGCCATGCCAGCCGCATGGAGAACGGAAGTAACCGGACACAGTTTGTTCTCAGTCTTTCTTCTTGATTCAAACTAGCAGGACAGGCAGGCTGACTGGATGGATCTGCAGGAGGGTCGCTGGCCCCTGGCCAGGCATTTGCAGCCGTGGTCCTGCTTGTGTGGGGCCACAGGGCTGTGGATGCCACAACAGGGGAGCCTTGGTCCAGGGGCAGGGCTGGTCCCCACCCCTCCACAGGCCTCCAGGGAGGCGGGGTGAGAAAGGGCCGGAGCCCTCCTGCTAAGGGGGACGGTGGAGCAGAGCTGGGTGTGAGACCCGCCTACACCTCACATTACAGTCTTGCCACCGGGAGACCAGAGAGGCCAAAAGAGGAGTCGCCAAGCCAAGCCAGGCCAGGCCAGGCTGGGCCAGGCCTGTGGAATAACCTGCTCCAGGCCACATGACCTGCCCCTGGGGGCCGATGGTGGATCTCCCACTCGCTACCCACAATGGCAGGACAGGGAGGCAGGGAGGTGCCCCTGGGCTGGGCTGCACCTCCTGTGGCTGTGCACCTTGGCTCAGAGCTCGACACCTATGGCCTCTCTGGGGGTCAGCGCACCTCACATAGTGCTCAGAATGGAGCAGTGCATGCTGTGACCCAGAGGCGACAGGGGAGAGAGAGCCAGGAGTACTGGGCAGTCCCCGGCCTGCCACTGTTCCCCATGGACCTGAGGGAACAGAAGGAAGGAATTGCTGGGAAGGGGGCTGGAGGGGCCATGGTTTCCCTGTTGCTCTTCAGAGAAAGGACGGTTGGAAGGCAGAAGGGGGAGGTGATGCCTGGAGATGTCACCAGAGCCAAGACACCAGCGTGCACCTCTCAGCTGTGCACCTGCTGTGCCAGGGCTCTAATTGAAGGTGTGGGGTCACTGGCTCCCGCGTGAAGTAACTGGGAAGAGCCATGCTGACATCTTTTTATTGCAACCAGGGTATGGCTAGTCCTGCTGGGGAAGCGGGTCCTTGGGGCACCTGCGGGCCCCGTTCTGGCTAACCAGCAGCCTTGCCTACACAGGCCGCAGATTCTCAAGTGAATTCAATACCTACTTCCCAGCTGGTCCTTGGACAAAGTCTTCTAACACAACTTCTGACTTAAAAAAAGAAAAAATTAGCGGTCTTGGAAAGTAGCTCGCCTGGGTGAAACCCGCAAAGGTCTTCCTGGATGAGCTCAGACACTGACAAACGCCACTGTCCTTGCAAGGAAGACGGTAAAATCCGATGGCTTGTCAGGACCATCTCATCCTCCCCGGTCATGAACATCCAGAAAGACATCCTGACGGGTTTTGAACTGACTTCCTGTCTTCCGATTGATGGAGTAGCACAGAAAGCCTTTTGCTGCTTTTACGCTCAGTGTCTCTCCCTGGACTCCTGCTCACGTACGCCAGCCTCCCGCGCTGGGGCTGTCTAGGCTCCAATTTATTTCCTGTCGTTCTTTACTGCTCCCTTACCCACTTCCAATTTCCTTGGGGTTTTGGAGAAGAAGGCCAGAGGCGGGAGGGGCTGGTGGTGGCACCAACTCTGCAACCGAGCCAAGGCCACCTGCCCAGGGCTCAGAGCCCACTGTCACCCCCGTCTCCATTCCAAGAACGCTGTGTCCTAATAGGATGAATGGAGCCCTGCCTATGGAAAAAAGTGGTGGTTAGAAAATTCTAAAAAGATGACATTACTCCAACTTCTTCTCTCTGATGAGGACTATTTAACACTGATATGTGACAAGCTGAAACCACAGGAAAATACTTTTTTTTTTTTTTTAATCAGTCATTGAACAGTCACCAAGATAGTTCACATCCGGGTCACTAAACCCCAAGGAGTTTCAAAGAACTGAGATCAGACAGGTGTGGAGTCAGATTGGAAACCGATGGCAGAATGACAGCAGGAAAAAGCCCAACCCGGGGCAAGTAGGTGGCACAGCTGTAAAGAACCCATAGGTCAGAGAGGGCACCTCAACAGAAAGACACACACTCAGAACCGGGAGAAAGGGAATGCCGGCATGTGAGGCCTGAGAGAGGCGGCTAAGGCAGTGCCGAGAGGGAGAATCAGGGCACTCGACGCCTACCTCGGCAATGAGGCCAGTAATCTAAGTGCCCATCTCAAGAAATGAGAAAAAAATAACCCCAAAGCAAGCAGAGAGAAGGGAATTATAAAAACCAGAAATTGATGACACTGAGACCAGCAGAAAAATGTCTTTTTAATCAATTAAGTTGATGAATCGTCTGGAAGAATGGCAAAGGTCAAAAGAAAGAAGACACAGGTCTCCAATATTGGGAATAAGACAGAGAGCATCTGGACTGCTCCTGCAGTCATTAGAAAGATAACAAGGCCAGCCGGGCACAGTGGCTCACGCCTGTAATCCCAGCTACTCAGGATGCAGAGATCAGGAGGAGCGTGGTTCAAAGCCAGCCCAGGCAAATAGTTCATGAGTTCCTATCTCAAAAAAACCTTCACAAAAAAAGGCTGGTAGAGTGGCTCAAGGTGTAGGCCCTGAGTTCAAGCCCCGGTACTGCAAAAACAAACAAACAAACAAACCCCAAAACCAAAAAATAATAGGGGATTTTTACAGGTAATTTTATACTTACAAATCCAAATTCTCAGAGGTACAATTCCTTGAAAAGTATACACAGTACTAAGACACGACCAAGATGAAATCGACAATCAGAATAGTCCTCTAGCCATTATGGAAATTGAACTTACAAATGAAAACCACCCCAGAAATCTCCAGGCCCAGAGAGCTTCACTGGAAAATTCCACCTGACACGTAAACAGGATTGGCACAATGGCTTCTAGAAAACAGAACTCCCGAACACACTTTACCACACCATACGGTCCTGACATCAGAACCAGAAAAGACACCCGGAGACAGGAGGAGAGTGACGCCGTCTCAAAACAACAAAAACCAAAGCTGTCACGCGAAAACCCTCCAGACTCAGCAGCTCAGTGAACCCACCGGGCAAAGGGTGAGGTTCACCCAGGCACCCAGTGGCTCGGCATTTCCTGTCAACCAGTGTGATCCAAGGAACCCCATCAACCCACGGGCAAACCCCACATCTGTTCAGGACAGAAACTCCCGACAGGTGAAGGGAAGAGTGAAAAAAGGAACTCCTGCAAACTCATCCGACCCCACACGCGAGGCCGAAGGCTTTCCCTCTGAGCGGGGCCCTGACGCCATGTTGGAAACTCTAGACGAGGAAAGAAATAGGCAAAGCTGTGCAGATCAGAAAGGAGGAGGAGGGGAGGGGGTACAGGACAGGAACCCCAAAGAGCCCACGGATGCCATGTTGAGCACAAAGTGCAATAAACCGTATAGAACCTAAAACTACAAACTACAACTGCCTGGGATCTATAACTATCTCAGAATAAAATTCGGTTAATAGCCAGCCTGGTGGTTCACGCCTGTAATCCCAGCACTCACGAGGCTGAGGCCGGAGGATTGCGACTTTGAGCCCAGCCTGGGCTACAGAGTGAGACCCTGTCTCAAAATAACCAAAAAACAAAAACAAACAAAAAACGTTCAGTTGAACACAAATCAGAGAGCAGAGGGAAGAGAGAGGAGGAAGAGGAAGCAGGCTGAGATGCAGAAGGGGAAGTGAGGCTTGTTTTCGGGATAGCTTTGGCCTCTGCAGTGTCGAGCTCAGTCTAAGATCAGGGGCCAGCAGAGCTAAGCTCAGGAGACAGGCCTCCCAGAACCAGCCAAGATGGAGTCAGGGAGGCTGCCTGCCTTCAAAAACACAGCCGAGGTGTAACTCCCCTCATAGGGGAGCGTGCACTCACGACACCAATTAGAGAAGACAGAAAAATACACAGCAAATGTATGAAGAAAAGTGTCCGTAATCATACTTCAGAGACAAAAATCCCCAAGACCAGTACATACGTGTTTTTTTTGTGGTTGGCCTCAAACTGCACCTGGGTTACAGGCATGCACCACCATACCCAGCTTGTTCTTTGAGATGGGGGCCTCACTACTTTTTTTTTTTTTTTTGGCCTTGGCTAGCCTCAAACTACTAGCCTCCTCTCTCTGCTTCCAAGTAGGCAGGGTTGAAGTGTTAGCCCCACACTTGTCCTAAATCCAAATATATTTTGGTAAAATTTGGATCTCATCTAGTTTTGGAGACATTTTTTTTTCACTTAACATTTTGTCATGACCATTTTCCTCAAATTTTTTGAGCTTCAAAACATTTTTAAGAACTACAAGGTATTAACTACGTTGTCATTCCATCACTTTTTCCTGGGTTCCCCATTTGGAACATTTGGACCCCCCCATTTCTTCCAATGACAAATAGCTGTGCTCAGCCTCCTTGTGTGTGACCTCTGTGGGTAATGTCAGCAGTCAAGGCTCCCTGTCACATCAGCTGGCCAACGAGAAGTGACCACAGGGCCACAGAATCAAAATCTCTGGGCTGAGAGGCGGGTGCACCGCCCCGGGATGGCGCAGGAGGAGGGAGAGCCGGGAGGGGCCGGGGACCAGAATTGGGAATCTGGTGACAAATGAGGTCGGGGGCCCGAGGCAGGCCAGTCCCTCCGTCTCTGTCCCCAGAGTCACTTCCTCTGGCCCAGGCTTCCTCCTGGGCCCAGGGCCCTCCTCCAGGGACCCTGCCCACCCTGGCCCGGGCGAGTGAGCAGCGCATCGGGGAGTGACACGGGGCGTACTCACTGTCCTCGAGGGTGCGCACGAGCTGGGGCGCGCTGGGCGGCCCGTCCCCGGGCGTGGTAAAGCACAGGACGGACGTGAAGTAGGCCGTGAACTTCCTCAGGTTCGTTATGGACCCGCGGTGGACGCCGTGGAAGTCGGGAGCAATGGGCACTACGGTGACAGCCTCGGGAGCGTCCGCCGGCCACGCCAGGAGCTGCGAGGGACGGGTGAAAAGGCGCCTTGGAATCGCGTTTCTCTGTGCGACTCACTTGCTTGGCACGCCATGAATGCACAGGTGCCCGGGTTCAAGTCTTACAATGTCACGTCAGAAGGCTGAGCTGAAGGACATGTCACAGATGGCTGTGCGTGAGCGTGTGAACAGACGCCTGTGCATTTCCTACACGCACAGATAAGAAATCCGCTGTTACCTCACTCCTCAAACCGTAATCTTCCCTTTTGCAGTGCTGGGATTTGAACTCAGGGCCTTCACCTTGAGCCACTCCACCAGCCCTATTTTGTGAAGGTTTTTTTCAAGATAGGGGTCTCAAGAACTATTTGCCTGGTCTGGCTTCAAACTGTGATCCTCCTGATCTCTGCCTCCTGAGTAGCTGGGATTACAGGCGTGAGCCGCTGCGCCTGTTCAAGCTGTGATCTTCTTCACTCAGTGTGCCATGGGGCACGCGTTACCTTTAGCAGTAAGGGGCACACTGACGTCGTCCTATTGACACAGTCAGTACCAGGAGAAACACAGCCATTCCTCCAGATTGCCACCCACTCTGACTCACCAAGATTCATTCAGAACAGTCTGCATTTTAAGTCTGCACCACACTGGTTTCCTGGAAAGGATTCTGGGAGATTTGGAACCGTTTTAAAGCAATAGACTACGGACAACCATTCCAGGGAAAGTCCCTGCCAGATCCTGGCAACAGTAGGAACCTGTGTGAATTTTAATTTCCTCGGCACCACACATCTCCAGGATTAATAGCTCTGAACGCCGGCCGGCCGTGGGACACAGGGTGCACGCCCGCCAATCCGAATGACAACTGAGCCGTCAAGAGGGCTGGAGCCTGCGGGTGATCAGAAGGCCCCTCTCCCTCAGGAAAGCTGTGGGCTTAGATGGCTCTGAGATGAAAGGCCAGGCAGGACAAATTTCCAGTGACAACTGTGCTCATAGCAGACAAGCAAGTGTTTTAGTAGAAGTTTGAGCCCAGGTTGGAAATTAAAGAAAGAATAAGCCGTGTCTCTGGGAAAGGAAACTTTTCTGAAGCTGAAGGTGGCATGGATTTGAGCAAAGACGGAAGAAGGCCTCTGTGAAGGCCACCTGAGGTCAGTGGACGTGTCCTGTGCACCACATGAGCTGTGCACGGTGGGGACTTCTAGAGCCTGGTCCCCGTGCCGTGCGCACACTGGGGGCCGACGCTCTCGTCCAGCCTGGAGGAGATGCTCAAGGGGAAAGTGACCCGTTTGGAAGTCATTTCCAAGCCCACGGGCCAAGGAAACCAAGGCTGTGTTTAATGCGACTTGGGCCCCCAGGTTTGCAGAACTCTGCAAAGGGGGACAGTGGGCGTTTCCCTCGTGTGCCTCCCTGCGTGTGGCCCTGAGGGGACGCCCTGCCAGGAGGACATGGCTTGGACATGCTTGGCTTCAATCAAGCCACACAGAGCTGGTCAGAGCCCGTCCTCTGAGCTCCTCTGTGTCGCAGCCACCCTCTTGCTAACTGACCCTTTGAGTTTCTGAGTTCTTGTCACAGCTAGTGACAAGATAAATGGTGACCACCCCCCAAGGTGAAGACGCCTAAGGGGGTGGCCTGTCTGTCCCACGGCTCTGAGGTCTGCCCACCAGAGCCACCCAGGGGCCGCGGACGGACGTACCTTGTAGCCCTGGTTGACACCGTTGACAAACTGCTGGGGTGGTGGCCGCCACACGAACTGGATGGTCGTGGAGTCCACAGCTTCCGCCTGCACGTTCTGTGGGGGTGCAGTGGGCACTGAGTCCAGGCATCGGCGACAGCAGGAGGCAGAGGGGCGGGGGAGACAGAGAGAAACCCTCAGTGCCACTTCCAGCCACCGGCACCGTGGCTGAGGGCAGAAGGCGCTGAGTGTTCTGGAAGTAACGGTGGCAGAGCACAGCAGGAGACCGGGCCACTTGTCACTCCTGCAGGACAGCGCAGCGCACTGCATGGCAGAGGCAGAAAACCGCACTGGGCCACAGCCTTTGCTGGGGGTCAAGATGGATGGTGAATAAGACGTCTCCTCATTCCTTTTCAATTAGCCCGTCATTTAGAACGTCCCGCCCTGTGGTTACCTGCCCTCTGCACTGGCTTTTTTTGGGAAGGAACCCAGGTCCTCACACATGCTGGACAAGTGCCCTGCCACTGAGCTCCATCCCCAGCCCTGAATTGCTTTTTTTTGTTTTTGGTGGTGCTGGGATTTGAACTCAGGGCCTCACTCTTGCCGGGCAGGCGCTCACCACTTGAGCTGCTCCACCAGCCCTTTTTGTGGGATGGGTTTTCTCGAGAACGGTCTGCTAGGGCTGGCTTTGAACCCCGATCCTCCTGATCTCTGCCTCCTGAGCAGCTGGGATTACAGGCGTGAGCCACTGACACTGGGCTTACCATTTGCAGACAATGTGGTTGACTCTGCAGAAAGTTCCAAACCTCCCAGAAGTAAGGGAGGTTGGGAAAATCCAAAAATCAATTCTACTCCAAATGCCTGCCGTAAACTGTTAGAAAGATGCATTTAAAGCCGGTGCCTGGGAGGGAGTGGTAAGAACACGCAGTAGCTGTAACCCGAACACCGCGACACAGACCCTCCAAGGAAGGAAATCAGACAGACAGACAGACAGACATCAAGAACGGCTCCTCGAGCTGCCTCCAGGGAGCGCGGTCTCTGGGGTTCAAAAGCCTGCTGAGACTTAGCTGAGGAGCCAGGCTTGCAGAAGAACCGAGGTGGTTTTGGGAAACCGTGTACACTCCTCACATTAAAGGCCTGGCACAGAGCTGTGGTCAGGAAGTCACCCGGGCCACCGCCACACGAGAGCAGATGCCTCGCTCACCGCTCAGCCGAGTCAGCGCTCAGCGACGGCCTGGGCAAACTGGACGTGCAAGAAATGGTCTCACCTGGGCCTCATAGCACAGGTGACAGTGTGCGGGCGCGGGGACAGAGAGACAGAGACAGACGGAGGGAGGGAGGGAGGGAGGGAGGGGGAGAGAGAGCGAGAGCTGGAGTTTGCATTAAGCTGTGTGTAATGCTTATGGCAGCTGCAATCACCTGTTTCCCCAAATTTGCAAACACCCCAAAAGTCCTCAACTGGCAGATGGGGAAGCTGCACCACATCCCAGGGTGGAACAGCATCGGCAGTGAAAGGGAACAGACGTCCCACATGCACCAACGACACAGGGGACTCTGAGCCGCTACACCATGGGGAGGAGACACTTGGACACGAATCTCTGCATCCATCTCTACCCCATCGAAGGCAATCGCGGGCCGAGCGGGCTCAGCGGTGCCCAGGCGGCCGCGGTGGAGGGCTGAGGACACGGGTGGGACGAGGCGTCTGTACTCCACCATGCTAGGGGTGGTGGACAGGGAGTCGGTCAGGGCCTATGGTACCGAACGCTGAACGGCTGGTTACTGCATGTAAGTGGTGGCACCTTCAACGCCGCTTTTAAACACGCTGCCACACTGTGACACTTTCCGCGGAGAGGTGACATCCACTGGTGCCCTGGCTCCTCGCCTGTGGGCTCTCCGGCAAATCTGATCTCATAAAGTAGCACTTCACCTTGCTGGGGACACAGGAGAGGATGGACGTTGATCAATGACGCAGAGCGGGTCTAGAAACCTCTCGCACATCTATCAATTGGTTTTTGATGAAAGTATAGAGAAAAGTTTTTTCAATGGAGGCTGGAAAAATTGGTCATATTTTTGGGGTGCCTGTGTGGTCATGTGGGAAGAAAAAGGTCCCTGAAGCCACCACACAGGCCACGTGCAGGTGCTGCCATGGACAGTCCCCCGCCACCTTCCACCTCTCTTGTGCCTCGTGCCTCCTGGGTGCTGGCCGCAGGCACAAGGAAACCCCACGCAGCCCCACTTGGAGTCTGAGCCCCACAACAGAAACCTGTGGTTTCAGGGTATCTTGTGATACAGCAAAGGAAACCAGCAAAAAAAACCCAAGGAAAAGCATCTGCCGAAAGATAGGGGAAAGACGAGGAGGAGGGGGAAAAGGGAAAAAAGTTAGGAGCCAGTGGAGAAAGACTAAAATGTGATCTGCCCTTTTGTCTTAAAACCCACAGTCCCAGTTTGGCTCTGAAGCTCACATGTGCAAGGCTTGGTCCCCAAAGCGGGGTGTAGGGGGTGGCTTTGGGGACATGATTAAATCTCAAGGGCTCTGATCTCACTGATAGGTTAATCCATTGATAGATTGCTGCAGGGAGCGGGTCCTTGGGGAGTGTGCCTTCTCTCTCCTCTCTCTCTCTCTCTCTCTCTCTCTCTCCCCCTCAGCTTCCAAGCTACCATGAGAAGCAACAGAGCCAAATGCCACGGACAGAAACCTCTCAGACCATGCACCAAATAACCTTTCCTCTTTTGCGTTGATCGTCCCAGGTATTTTGTCACAGTAGCGGAAAGCTCACTGACCTGGCCCCATCCTGTGAGACCGAAGCGTTCACCTCATTCCTTGTGACTCTGCTGCAGGATTTCACAGCTCCAGTCACTGCTTGTGGAATTCCGTAATACCTTTCCATCAACTCTCTACACGCTCTAAAATAAGACGGCGCTGGGGTTTGAACTCAGGACCTTGCCCTTGCTAGGCAGGCGCTCCACCAGCTGAGCCACTCCTTTTTGCTTTGGTTGGTTTTGAGATAGGCGCTCGCTTTATGGTCATGCTGGCTCCGACCCCAATCCTCCTATTTGTGCTTTCCTGCGCAGCTGGGAGGACAGGTGCAAGTCACCACGCCTACCCATTCTTTGAGATGGAGTCTCATGAAACCCCTCCCCCACTTTCCCCACTGGCCTCAAACCGTGATCCTCCCGACCTCTACTTCCCGAGTAGCTGGGATTACAGGCGTGAGTCACAGCACACCCAGGCAAAATTGCAATCTCCAACAGCGCCCCGAGCCTCCACAGGGAGAGGAGGTCTCTCCTTTCCAGTTCACTGCCATTTACGCCACACTGAGGATTTCCCAAAGGAGACAGGAACGAGGCACGAGGAAGCGCTCGCTTGTAATCCTTACTTCAGAGCACCCTTCACAGCCCAGGTGAAGAGCCAGAGGCTGTTCGTAATGTCTTACGAGTGTGGATAGCCAAATGTTTTCTCCCCGTTTCTTTTTAAAGGTGAAATATTCCTTTCATTATGAGGTAAGGGTCTGAAACCAGAATAAATCAGGCAAACGCAAACATACCTGCTACTGGAAGAAAAGTGACAAAAAATCAAGGCAGAAGAACAACGTAGGACCTGGATGCACTCAGAAAAAAAGATGATTCATAGGCTAATCTGCCCCGGGGTTTCTTCTAGAAAAATCAGCACCTGCGTCTTTACCGAGGCCTTACGGAATGGACGGAAGCCGTTTGCTGCTCTATGGCACTTTTTGCTTTTCTTCTGGGGTGTCGCTATAATCTGTTGTTCTGTACAGGCTCAGCTGGGAACGTTATGTCTGCACTGTTTCTCCCTGTGAGTTTTATTTTATTATTATTATTATTATTTTAGTACTGGGGTTTGAACTCAGGGCCTACACGTTGAGCCACTCCGCCAGCCCTTTTTTGTGTTGTTTTTTTTTGAGAGAGGGTCTCGAGAACTATTTGCCTGGGCTGGCTTCAAGCCTCCATCCTCCTGACCTCTGCCTCCTGAGTAGCTGGGATTACAGGCGTGAGCCACTGCGCCTGGCTCTGCGGTTTTTATTTTTATTTGAATGGTTTTGGACACTAACTGTGTGTGTTGAACACTGAGTCCCCATCACACAGGCTGGTGGTGCTCTGTGTCCCTCGTCCCTTCCCTCTCTTACACCATCTGAAGTTGCTGACGTCGACATTGGCAGTAAGGAAAATGCTTCTAATTACATTTGGCGTTTAGTTTGCAAAACCTCCTCTTTATAGTTTTTTTCTTTTTCCACTTTTGAAACCAAAAGCCTATCAATTTTCTGGGAGCACCATGAAATTCTCGAGCAAAATCTAAGTGACTGTCCTTTGCCTTGTGGTGACGTCAGGATGGCACCATGATGGCAGCTCGGAGCGTGCGGGGGTCTCAGGTCACAGCTCCTGTGACAGACCCAAGTTTCCTGCCACCCTGTGCAAAGTTCACTTGGCCAACACCGTGGCCGTGCGCCACTTCCCCTTGGAGGTTCATGTGTCCCGTTCAAAGAGCCCCGGGCAGCAGAGGTCGGGGAGACCCCGCTCACGAAATCTATCAGGTGGCACCGAGGACAAGACAACGGGGAGGGAATGGAGGATGGAGGGGACAGGGAAAGTCTGAATTAGATCGCGTGCACCAGGCGGTCCCCGCACGGCCGAGGTGGACACGCGTCACCCCCATCTGTCCTGTGATCTGTCACAGCAACACAGGACGAGAGGACCCAGGTGCGTGCTGGCGAGCGGAGGGCCCGAGATTCCGTCACAGCGCGGTGTCACACCGTGTGGCACCAGGGCCCAGAGAACCTGCTGCGTCCTTGGGCAGCACGTCCGAGACTAAACGTGCGTGGGAGCGAGGAGCCCCGTGTCATGGCTGTGCCAAGCCCCCGCCCGGTTCCAGATAAGCCACGCGCTCAGCACTTCCACCGGGGCGCTGCGGCAGGGAGCTCAGCTCCAGGCACTCCCCAGGAGGTGGGCTTAGGCGGGCTGTCCTACAGCCCCCCGCTGTGACCCCTCAGCAAGTCACCTTAGAAATGAGCAGAAACTGATGGCCCTGCCAGCGTCTGTCCCCCTCTCCAAACAACAGACAGAATGTAGCCAGCTGCAGGACCACTTTCCAGCCTCTCCTGCACAGAGAAAATTCCACGAATTGCAAGGAAGATTTGTACCTGAGTCTCTAGAAAGATCCTAAAAGGCAGCATATGCGGCCATAAAGCACACCCCTGGCCTCCTTCCTCTATCTTGTTTTTTGGAATGTGGATGTGATAGCTAGCATTGCAGTAGCCAGTTTGTGACCATGAGGCAAATACTTAAGACAGCAAAGCAAAAGGGTCCTGATTCTCTGAGGACCTCAGAGGGACCACTACAGCACCACCTGCTCACTGCCCACTCTTCTGATGTGAGAAAAATGAAAACACATCTCTATTTTCTTTAAGGCACTGTCATTGGGATTTGTTTCCAGCACCTGGACACCACTCAAAAGCAGCAGAGACAGCTGTGGTCACTCCTCCTTGTGGCCTCTCCCCAGAGTGCCCAGCACGGCCCTCTGCAGGTGCCTTTGGTGTTCGTGTTATATTCAGGGCATCTCGGGATTGAACCCAGAGTCTCACACTTGCTCGGCAGGCGCTCCACTGCGTGAGCTCGCCTCCCTTATGTCCTCCTCCCCGAGTAGCTGCGATGACAGGGAGGCCCCACCATGTCCTGGGGGTCCTGACTGGGAGCCTTGACCTGTGGACAAGTGAGGAACGTGGCCGGCTTCTGTCCTTGTCCCTGCCCTGGTTTTCTAATCGTCAGTCAGCCTTAGCTCGGGGCTGCCTGTAGGCCCAGGGCCGGCCACGGGTCAGGCGTCTCCTCTGGCCTGGTGTCGCCCGTCCCACAGCTCTGGGGGCACAATTGGCTCTCACACCACTCTTGTTCTAGCAGCAGAGAGAAGAACTCCAAATCCCTTTCCGTGCGACGGCCACCGCAGACACGGTCAAAGAGCTAGCTGTGGTCACAGTGGACAAACACACGGGGGGCCACCCTGTGCGGGCATCTGTACCCAGCCTGTTCCACAGCCTGTCCCCGTGTACTGTCACCTTTTCTTGCCACACCCTCTAAGCAATCAGCCGGACACCAGCCTGTCACAGGTGACGCACCGAGGCTCGGGTCAGGCGGTCAGGCCTGGGTGACCTGGGAGAGGCTCGTGCTGCCATCTCCAAGGGGACCCTGTGCCCTGGCGCCCCAGTCCACCCCAATCATGCCAAAATCTCCTGAGGTCTGGCTGACACCGCCCCGAGGACGGTGGTCTTGCCTCTGAAGGCTGAGGACAGGCATTGGCTCTGCCATTTTGGGCCATGTCATTTGGCACTGACTGAATTCTAGCCGGCAAAGCGCCCGGTGTGCACGTCCAGCCCGGCTCTGCAGGGACGGGCTGGCCAACTCGGTTGCAGCATTGTCACGGGCACACCAAGGGGACACGCGTGAACTGTTTGAAAGGACAACACGCCCCTTCTCGCCACCAGCTGCCATAGCCAGATTATCGCTTCCCGTGTCTCCAGCTGCCACCACGTGAATAAAAACCCCAAACGCCAAAGCCTCTGTCCCCTGCCAGGCCCAGGCCTGCTTCCCTCTGCCCGCGAGGGCTCAGCGCCCACAATCCATCGATTAGTCACTCTGCGGTTTCATTAAGCAGACGAAGTAGAGCCAGCGCCAATTGTGCAGGTTTCAGCTGTGTTCCTGTCCTGTCCCGAGGAGTCACCAAAGGTCACTCTCAGCGGATGGTCCTTCCTGGCTGGCCTGCAATGTCACGTCTGTCGGGCACTGCTCTTAATTTACAAGGAGGATTTATGGAGTCAGGGATGACAATGGACAGCCAGTCAATAGGGTGATGATAACAGCGTGTCATATCAAGGCACATTAGGCTCCGGCCATGATTTAGGGGGGAAGTTGTCATTTGATAAAGGTCAAAACCCAAGCGAATGAAACCGCGCCCCACAAGCAGAGGGATTGGGGCGGAAAGGATTTGAGACTTCGGGGACAATTGCTTCCCGCCGAGGATTTGGGACAAATGTGGGTGTTTACAAATGCTCTGACCAACTGTGACCTTCGAGGGGACAAGGTCTCCCAGCGAATCCTCCAGGAAGCCGGGAGGAGTCAGTGCCAGGGACACGCCAAAAGCCACAGACCTTCAGGAAAGTTCTGAACTTAAAAACCATGAGGCCTGATTCAGGCAGCCGGGGGACCCTCTGACCGTCCCTCAGGGCACAGCGCCATCTTGACTTTTGTTAAATCACACTGGAAATTTCCTCAGGCCAGGGGAGCCTGACTTCCTCCCTTCCTCCTTCCCTCCCTCCCTCCCTCCCTCTTTCCTTCCTTCTTCCTTCCCTCCCTCCCTTCCTTACTAGGATTTGAACTCAGGGCCTTCACCTTGAGCCACTCCACCAGCCTTTTTTTGTGATGGGCTTTTTCAAGACAGGGTCTCATGAACTATTTCTCCAGGCTGGCTTTGAACCTCGATCCTCCTGATCTCTGTCTCCTGAGTAGCTGGGATTACAGGCGTGAGCCACCATGCCCGGCCTTCTCCGTTTTGATTTCTAACACGCTCCAATCAAACTTTGCCGCCCCCCTCACCCTGCCCCGGCTCCCACAGACCTAGAAAGTAAACTCACCTCCTTGCAAGGTGTACTCAGCCACCGCCCTGCTGAAGACGCCCAGGCCCGCCCCGTTGTAGGCGGCCACCTGGATTTCGTACTGCGTCCAGATGATGAGGTCCGTCACCAGGCAGTAGTTCACCTCTGGGCTGGTGATGTTCTTCTGCTGGTGCTCGCTGGGCAGGCCGGCCAGGCGGTACCTGTGGCAGGAAGGAAGCCATGATGGCGCTGAAGCGACTGACCCCAGGTCAGGTCAAAGACACCGGATCTGTCCCAGACGACGCTGGTCCTGATTCAGCCATTTTAAACAGCAATAATCTCACACTGATTAACACTGGTCACAATGGATCTAGTGGTTCAACCACATTGTGGTTACAGAAAAATTCTACCTGTTTTATTTTTTTTTGGCGGTACTGGGATTTGAACTCAGGTCCTTGCCCTTGCTAGACCTGGACTCTACCACTTGAACCACACCCCAATCCCTTTTGCTTTACTTTGTGCTTCAGATAGGGTCTCTGCTTTCTGCTGGGGCCCACCTTGGACCTCAATCTTCCGACCTCCACCTCCCAAGTAGCTGGGATTACAGGCATAGGCCACCACTCCAGCTCTAAAAGCCTAGCTTTTTAAGTCTCACTGTGGAGCATACGGTGACATAGTGCCCAAAGTGCCAAATGGGACTCCCTCTGGAGCTGCGGCGTGAGGAGAACTCAAGATGCAATCGGCCTCCATGGGCTCATCCTCCACTCTGTCTCTGTTTTAGGAATTCTAAGTTTGTTCAAGTTCATCCCAGACTGAGAAAAAGTGGCTTTGAATAGGTGTTGCCTGGCACTGGTGCTCACGCCTGTAATCCCAGCTACTTGGGAGGCTGAGATCGGGAGGACTGAGGTTTGAGGCCAGCCCAGGCAAATAGTTTATGAGACCCCGTCTCCAAAATACCCAGAGAACGCAGTGGTGAGCATAGCTGCCTTCCAAAGTACCCAGCGCAAAATGGAGACTGCAGGAGTGGCTCGGGCGGTAGCACACCTGCTTTGGAAGTGGGAAGTCCTGAGTTCAAATCCCAGTCTTACCAAAAATACTACTACTACTAAAACATAAACAACAATGTTGACCTCTCTGAACTGCTAGTGCACAGCAAGGATGGCAAATTGCTCTTCCGGAACCTTTGCGAGGGCCTGGCGACCCCGCGCGGCCGCTCAGGAGCGAGGCCATTTCCAGGTGTTTACTGGGACGCCCTCCACAGCTGCACTGGGGTACGTGCACGCTGGGAGACGGTCGTCGTCGTGTCGAAGGTTTCGGTACCCTGTGTCCATCGGCGACGCTTCCGTGTTCGCTTTGTAGAGGCAACGGACTGAGCCGGCTTGGTTAATCCGCCGAGCTCGGCTCGATGGCCTCCCTGGTGATGCCAGCACTGTGCCCAGGATGGGTGATGCCAAAGCCTCCCTGCGGCTTCCCCACACACCCGATTTCTAGCCCAGAAATTTCTCGCCTCAGGAAATATGGCTGTTTGATAAATGAGAAGGGGCGTGAATGACGAGGGAAACCAAACCAGACCGGCAACGATACATTGGTCTTGGTGGCGTTTGGGAACCTCGTGGCGTCCCCTGAGGAGCTGTCCCGGGGCAGAGCCCATGGCAGGAAGGGGGCGCCTGAGACGGAACTCACAGAGCAGGGTGTCCCCAAGGCCCAGACATTCAGATGCTTCCCAGAGAGAACGACAGCTGAAAACACAGGAAGGAGCGAGGGACACGGCCAGGAGCGTGTCCCCGTGGATGTCACCATTTTCTGGCTCGCTACAGGCCACCTGCACTTGGTGAGGCCTGTCCAGCAGCTGACAGCACTGGAAGGCACGAAGGTCAAGAGCCTCCTCCCTCTGCGGTGGCGTGGACACGAAGTGTCCCCCCGAGAAGGCTCCTGTGTTAAAGACTCGGTCCCCAGCTGTGGATGCCACCAGTGGGAGGCGACTGCATGCAGAGGGCTCTGCCTCAGATCAATCTATAGATGATTAATAACTGTAAGGACCGGGGGAGGTGTTGGGAAGTAGGAGGTGACACCTACTTGGAGCAGGGGGTCACTGGGGACGTCCCTTAGAGCCACACACTCTTCTGTGTGGCCCGGGTCACCCAGTGTCTCTGCTTCCGGGCCACCATGAGGGAGCAGCCCCATTTTCCACACCTTCCGCCATGGTGCTGACCAAACATTGGCCCCTAAACAATGGGGTCGAGGGACTGTCGAGGGAAACCCACGACACCGTGAGCCAAAATGAACCCTTCCTCCTCCAGCTGTCTCTCCCAGGCATTCTGTCACATGAAGAGTGACTCGCACACTCCACCCCTTGCCCTCGAGGAGCAAGTGACCCTGGCTCGTCTACAGGGGGACACTGGGGAAGGTGGGGTGGGATTCTGGGGGACAAAAGTACAAGCCACCCAACCACACTCCTGCATTTTTGCTTCACTTCCATCGACTCCGACATTTCTGGAGCTGGTCTGTCTTTAGTGAGTGCCCAGGGCGGCCAAGGACAGGGGCAATTGCCAGCAGGTGCTCGGCTCAGGTGGGCAACGAAAGGTCCCCAGGCCGTGGGCCTGGCACGGATAAACCACGTGACAGATGTTTCTACTTAAATCCCCCAGTTACCAACGGTGAACTTCACCAGCAAAGGGCATGGAGACAACTGGACGGCCATTTGCAAAAGATCAAACCCAGCTCCACCCACGGGCTACGGCAGAGGAGCGTGGTCTGCGAGTGGGGCTCAGACCCGCTCTTGTCACTGCGATGGGGTGAGCATGGCCCTTGAGGGCCCCGGCTCGTGTGGACCCCTCACTACGCCAGACACATTCCAGGGAGAAGCAAAGAAATGTGTGACTTGGGCCAACGTCCTCTGTTCAGCACAGCCACTAGTGAGCTGGGCGACCTTAGGTGAATTCTTAACGTCTCTGAGCCTTGTTTTCACCTCTCTAAAATGGTGCTGGCAAGAATGGCGTTCCCCTTGGCTGCTGCAAGAATTCAACAGAACAATGGATGAGAGAGTGAAGGCTTTTCTTACTAAGAAATCGTGACACGGAGCCTCCGTGAGCCACCTGTGTTCTCCTGAGCCGCTCTACATGATGGTGACAAATGGATCACAGCACTCGCTTCTTCAAAGCGGGCTGTGGCACAGGCAGATCGGTCCATGTGGCCAGCGCTCTCGGGGCGCTTGGTGATGCTCTCAGGGTGTCTAGAAGGTCACCGTTAATAAGCATAGTGTGGGTCGTCCCCGCCTTTCTGGGAGGCTGTGTCACCCAGGAGATGGCTCAGCCAGAGCGGGACAATTTTTATACAGGAATAAACAGGACATTTTTAAAGGACACAACCCTGAGCTCCTCTCCGAGAGCCCCCCTCCCGGTCTTATAAACATTTTAACACTGCTTGCGCATCCCAGCTACGACTTATGGCCGAGGCCACCGAGGTGATTTATGTCACTGGCGCCCGCGTGTGTTGAGCCTGGCATCTGACGCGCGGCCTGCACCCTAGAGGATGCTTCCTTGCTTCCGAACAGAGCAGATTTTTTTTTTTTTTTTGCAGACTGCAGGATTACTCGGAAATTCATTTTGGCACAGCCTTAATTTCTAAAAGGTCTGGCACGCACAGGCCTCGGCCGTGCGCCCTCATTTGGGGTGCCCTTGCTGTAAGTCCCCGGCGATGACAGACGCCCCCCCATTCTCCTCACACCATCTTGGAAAATCCTTTAAACAGAAGTGATCCCATCAAAACAGAAATGTCCTCGAACATCACAGAGGTTTTATTTTTAAGCTCTGCGCCCCGAGCCTGGTTATGTGGGGGACGGTTACAGCCCCTGTTTGACAGCTGCAGCCTGGGGACTGTTCCTGATGTGCTAGAAACTTCCTCGTGGGCTGCCAGGACAGAGGGCCAATTATTTCCATTAGTGGATGGGTAGGAACAAGATGGACGGTGAGGCCGGGGTGGGAGCCCGCTGCAGAAACAGCAGAACCCCAGCGAGAAGCAGCTGTGAATGGTGACAGAGGAACAGAGCCCAGGGCACTGCCGGCAGGAACAGCTCTCGGTTCTCGTCCTTCCTTAAATGGGGAAGGACAGCTCGGGGCAGGGACAAGAGCCACAGTGTTGGCGCCCGTCATCCCTGTGTCCCCAGGATGCTCCGTTTGAACTGCTCAGCAGACAACGAGCTGGCTTGACATCTAGGGGACCGTCCCCCAAGGCTTGAAGAAAATCTCAAGAACAGTTAGTGGATCGGTAGTGACAGGAAAATATTGTATACACAGAGACTTTTTTTTTTTTTTTTTGGCAGTACTGGGATTTGAACTTGGGGCCTTTAGCTTGCTAGGCAGGCATTCTACCACTTGAGCCATGTCCCCAGCCCTTTTTGCATTGGTCATTGTGATACAGGGTTTTGCTTTTATGCCAGGGCCAGCCTGGATAGCAATCTTCCATTTGTGCGTCCCTGCATCGCTGGGACGACAGGCAGGCGCCACCATGCCAAGCCACTGATTAAAATGGGGTCTTGAAAACTTTTTTGCCAAGGCTGGCCTTGAACTGTGATCCTCCCAGTCTCCGCCTCCCAAGTGCACACTCTTAGCTGAAGAGGGGGTGACTGTGTGCACGTGTTGGGAACGAGTGGTCCCTCGTCCACAAAGAGAGCAAGTTAAGGAAGCAGCGCTGTGGCGGCTTGCGTTCATTTGAGAAGGCAGAGCCCACGGCCTTTCTTAAGCAGCTCGTGCTGAGCAGAAGCTGGGCCCGAGCCCAGGCCAGGCACCGGGCGACAGGTCCTCACCCCAGAGAAGCTGATAAAGTCCTCGCAGACTCAGCTGCGGATTAAGAATGATTCTCCCAGGCTGCATCTCTCTTCACCTTTGTGTCAGCTAACGCCACAGTTGTCACGGGCAGGGTGATTTGGAAACGGCCAAGGTCTTTGGCCGAGAAGATGTCCTCTCTCGCATGTGGCCAGCTCTCCTGGGGTTCTTGCAGTATATTTAGAGGCCCCATCACCCCTTCTGAGGCAGGGACAGCAAACTGTCACCCTTCAGCTACGTCTGGTGGCACAGGTGTGCATCGCACCTGCCCCGGGTTTCAAAATACAACGGTTTCATTTCCAACGCTGAAACACTGTGAGGTTGCGAAGATGACGGGATTTTCAGATTTCCTTGAAATACTGGAAGATCTGCCCAAACCGAGCAATGCGGTGACAACTGGCTGATAACTAAATGAAATTAATTGGGATTACTGTCAAGTGATTATGCTTCCCAATGCACTTGCTCGGGGAAAACGTAAAGAAACTAAAAGATTTCTACTGAATCGTGTACCTTGCTCCCTTCCCCATAATGCCCCCCTCTGTTCTGTCAAAATGCAGCTTCTAGGCCAGGCGTGACGGCTCACACCTATAATCCCAGCTACTTGGGAGGCGGAGGTAGCAGGATTGCAGTACAAGACCAGCCAGAGTAAAAATGAGTGTATGAGACCCCATCTCAAAGAATGAGTGGGGCATGGTGGTGCACAGCTGTGAGCCCAGCTACGTGGAAAGCACAGTTAGGAGGACTGTGGTCTGAGGCCACCCCAGGCAAAGGTGAGACCCCACATTAAAAAAAATTAACTAAACAGAAAGGGCTGGAGTTGTGGTTCGAGAGGTGGAGCACTTGCCTAGCGAGTGTGAGGCTCTGAGTTCAAATCCCAGTGCCTCCAAAAAAAAAAAAAATCGGTGTGCGGGCCGGGCCCAGGGGCTCTTTGCAGGCGTCGCAGTAGCTGTGACTGCCAGTTTGCTGCCACCTCCACCGCTCCCTAGAGCCCGGCGAGTGCACGGCGCACGCGTGGCGAGATGGACGCCTGGCATCTCCCAGCCCGACTTGCCTGAGGATGTAGCCCTGCAGTGCCCCGTTGTGCTCCGGCTCGGGGGGCGGCTGCCACTGCACCATGATGGACTGGTTGGTCCGCCCGCTGGCCACGATGTTTTTCGGGGGAGCGCTGGGGGGTTCTTCGGGTAACATCAACCTGCAGACAGAGGACGGGCGGGAGACAGAGACAGGGTCTCAGCAAGGGACCCCGGGTGACATTCTCCACCATGTGAACCTGGAGCCTCTCTATTGAGAAGCCCGGTGACAGGTGACAGGCGAAACCACCGACCACGCTGAAGGACGCGTGTGAGACAGGCGCAACTGTCAACGCCCAGGTGACAAGGGGCTGTGAGAGGCAACCTGTCTGCCTGTGAAGAACCCAGATCTGAGACGCCCTCGTGTTTTCTTCCATTCCTTCTCTATCGCTCATCTCAGATTTGAAAAGAAAAAGTCATTTCTGTCTCAGCTGTCCAGGTTGGCCGGGAGGAAACGGGGCAGTGGATGGAACCACTGTGCCCATCACGCCTGCAAGAGGTTACAGAGCATCCGTCCCAGGGAAGGAGAGGGGCTCTTGCCCATAGGGTAAGACTCCGGGGTGTCCAGCTTGGGGACCTTGGCATAGCGTCTACCTGCCGGCTGTTGGATGGAGAGAGGCCCAGACACAAACCCCAGGACCCAGGAAAGCTCTTAGTTTCTCGTAAACAGCAGGCTGTGCCATCAGATGTGTCCATGCAGCTGGGCACCGGTGCTCAGTCCTATAATCCCAGTACTCAGGAGGCAGAGATCAAGAGGATCCCAGTTCGAAGCCAGCCCAGGGCAAATAGTTGTGGAGACCTTATCTCGAAAAATCCATCACAAAAAAGGGCTGGTGGAGAGGCTCAAGATGTAGGCCCCAAGTTCAAATCCCAAAAAAGTGTCCACGTGGGCACAGGTGGACAGCAAGGGAGAAAGCCGAGACACCACCTCCGAGCAGCTCAGGGAAACCCAGCTGGTCTGACGAGCACCTGTGTCCGCCCTCACTGTGATGGTCTTTTTATGGCAGTCCTGGGGTTTGAACTCAGGGCTTCACACTTGCAAGGCAGGAGCTGTAATACCTGAGTCACACCTCCAGCCATTTTTGCTCTGCAGATAGGGTCGTGCTTTTTGCCCAGGCTGGCCTGGACTCTGATCCTCTGCATCTCAGCTGCCTGCATGGCTGGGATGACAGGCATATGACTCCACACCCAACTACTGGTTGAGATGGGGTCTTGTGGACTTTTTGCCCAGGCTGGCCTGGAACCACGATCCTCTCTGTCTCAGCCCCAGGTAGCAGCTAGAATCGAGGGACCTGTGCTGCTGGCCGCCTGCCGAGGGCGCTGCTCTCACCTGCTGGTCTCTGCGCTGTACTGGCCCTTGCCCACTCGGTTCACGGCGCACACCCTGAACTGATAGGTGCGGGCCGGGGTCAAGCCGCTCACGGTGGCGCCCGTCATCTCGGGGCCGACGTCTGACAGGTGGACCTTCCACGGAGAGTCTGGAAGGATGAGCAAAACAGTCAAAGAAAGCACAATGCAAACTGTGTCAGTTGCTTCCCAAGATAGCGCCAAGAGAAAAAGAGAGAGAGAGAGAGAGAGAGAGAGAGAGCCATCCCCGCTTGCCAGATGTGCAAAGCCAGGCTCGCAACTAGGGAGCCTGGCGTGAAATGCAGGCTTTGCACCCCAAACCCTGTTGTTACCCCTGTGTTGCCATCGGTGAGCAAAGGGGTCAACCTGCATATGACACTTTAAAGGAAACTAAATGGCCAGGCATGGTGGCTCACACCTGTAATCCCAGCTACTCAGGAGATAGAAATAAAGAAGATCGTAGTTCAAGGTCAGCCAGGGCAAAAAGTTAGCAAGACCCCCATTTAATCAATAAGCCAGTATGGAAGCACACGCCTGTCACCCCAGCTATGGAGGAAAATCAAACACTAAAGTGAAAAGGGCTTGAGGTGAGGTCAAGCAGTAGCACCTGCCTAGCAAATGCCAGGTCCTGGGTTCAAACCCCAGTGCCTCCAAAAAGTAATAAGAAGAAAATAACTAAATAACTAACACGGGAACATTGCTAATCCCTGGGTTACTATGTAACAGGAAAAGGTTGTCACCAGGTCAGGCAGATCGCAAGGTGTCTCCCAGGAGAGGAGAGAGAGAGAGCACTGACGAGAGCGAGGTAAGCAGGTGGGCTGGGCGCCTCGCAACCCATGCGTGAGGTGGCGCCTGTCACCACTGTCACCATCACACATGCCCCTGCGCCGTTCTGGAAGCTTCCGAGGGGCTCCTGCACATGGGTGACGTTTTGTGGGGTTTTCACGCGGTTTGGACTGAGAAGGCCTGGGATGGACGCGGGCTCTGTGGGGCTCTGAGCCAAGATGGGAGTGAGGTGGGCGCGGGGCCTGGAGAGCCCGAGGAGAGCCCGCCATCCCTGTCCCCACATTGGCGATGGTCGCACAGAGGTGACCCGGGTTTCCTATGGTGCTGGCTCTGCTCACCCTGCAGACGCCAGCTGCCTGTGAACGCCACACGGAAACCCCAGAGTCCTGAAGACTGGCCGTGGGGACTGTCACCGTCACCAGAATCACGCTGGGGACTGTGGCTCCTCACAGGTCACTGGGAGGTGGCCGCAGATGGCTCCAAAATGAAGAGAAGGCTCCCGAAGGCAGCCAAGGCCTGTTGACTCCCCACGGGGACGTCTGTCTGTCCCCGGCTCGGCATCTGTTAGTTAAGCAGCTGGGAATCGTGACACTGGTGGACCACAAAGATGGGCGTCTTCCTAATTATTTCAAATAAAGCCAAAATGGCCTTCTGGGAACGCAGTCTACACCGCCATGGGCAGAGCTGCGGTCTTGGCTCTTGATTTTTGGTGACCCAGGTGCAATTGATAAGGATCTTTACGATTCTGCTGAAAACCCAAAGTGTGCACCCCCTCTTTTTAGCCACGCCAGAGTCCACGCCATTCTGTCTTCACCCCGGCGGTCTGGCTTTCCTGGCAACGCAGAGGGTGACACGGCCTTCCTAACACCCGAGTGTCCACGGAGATGGTTTCGCTCCAAAGACGGTGACGGGTGGGAGGAAAAACATGGGACCACGTTGGTCGTGGACGCGTGTGATTTTGTTTGAACTCCTGCTGCGCCCACGAGGACAGCTTGTCAACCAGGCAGAGAGAACAGGAGGTGTCGGTGAGGGTTTGTGCACTGCTCATCCGAGTGTGAGACGGTGGGAAACTAAGGTGGCTTCTCAACAATTAGAAATACAATTACCTTCCTTCGAGCCATTCCTACTTCTGATTCTCCGCCCAGAAGATCTGAAAGCAGGGCTTTGAAGAGACATTTGTATTCCGTGTCCATGGCTGTGTCACTCACAGCAGCGTCTCAAATGTCCATGGATGGATGAATGGGTACACACAATGTGGTGTATCCCCACAGTGGAATACTAGTCAGCCCTAAAAAGGAAGGGAATTCTGACCCCGGCTGGACATGGTGCTGAGTCAGTGAGTCGGTGACAAAAAGAGAACTGCTGAGTGATTCCACTTACGGTAGGGACCCAGGGCAAGGAACTTCACAGAAAGAACGCAGAAGGGGCTCGGGGAGGTGACCCAGGGAGTCGTTGCTGAACTCACAGGATCTCACCTGGGAAGTACGCGACACAGCTGAGCGGTGTGGAAAATGGCCGACCAGCATCAAGACAGCAACGCATGCTGTGAAGAGCTGCCGGTGGGAAGTGACCCAGTGCCACAGCGTGGACGTCAGTATGGAGGCTCCTTGCAAAACTGAAACAGACCTCCTGGGACCCCGCCAGGCCCCTCCTGGCTATGTCCCAGGGAGTGTCAATCAACACACCAGACAGACACCTACACACTGCGGTTACAGCCAAAGTGCAGACACCGGGGTGCCCAACAAACGATGGACGGACAAAGAAACACGAGATATTTATATTCTATGTAATGGAATATTACTCAGCCGTAAAGAATCATGAAGTTATGTCTCTGTAGGAAAATGGATAGAACTAGATGCCATCGTGCGGAGTGAGACAAGCCAAGTTCAAAAAGCCAAAATCTGTTTTTCACTCATTTGTGGAATGACGACTTAAGATGACGATGATATTAATAAAAACAAATGACAACGGTGACGGGACATAACTTTAAAGGCTGACAGGCTTGGGGCACTGGTGGGGGAGGAGAGGTAAGACGGTACTTAGGGGTGAAGAGGATTCAGCATGAAAACATATGTAAATATATGAAAACAGCAGAATGAAATCCACCAAGGTGCTTCGGGGGGGAGGGGCGGGGGGGCCTGGAGCATGACGGGGTGAAATCGCTCAAAGGCCGCTACGTATCGATGGAGTTGTCACAGTGACCCCCTTGTGCTATTATGTGTGCTAAGAAATAAAATAAAAAATTTAAAAAAATGGTTGAGCTGCTAAATTTGCTATGTGTATTTTGGTGCAATTAAAATTGAGCTGGGTGCCAGTGGCCACTCCTATAATCCCAGCTACTCAGGAGGCAGAGATCAGTAGGATTGAGTTTCGAGGCCAGCCCCAGTCAATTCCTCATGGGACCCTATCTCAAAAAAAGAAAAAAATCACAAAAAAAGGCCTTGTGGTGCGGCTCAAGTGGTGGAGAACCTGCCTAGCAACCGCAAGGCCCCGAGTTCAAATCCCAGTGTTGCAAAATAAAATCTGAAACACGAGAAACTGGACAGTAACATAACCCTCCCAAGGCCGCTGGAGGATGAAGTAAGAGCCTGGCCCAGGCATGGGGTGGGGGACACCGGTTTGGGACAGTCCTGTTCCCACTGGACCCATGTCCACTGTCTCCCACTCTGCCCCTCAACCCGTCCTGGAAGATCAGGAAGAGAAGTCCTCACTGAGAGGGTGGCTCGGGTGTCTGTGTCCATCAACCCACCGAGTCCTGCTCCTCTTTCTAAGTGCTGTGACTCCCTGGTCCCCACAGGGGGACCGTGGTCTTCTTCCATCCCCGCCTCTGCAGACATCCATCCTTTCTCTAAAACCTGACTGACGTCACTCCTGGGGACATCAGTGTCCACAAGGGAACCACTTTCTGCCCGGGCAGATGCAGAGTGAGCCACAGACAGCGGCTGCGGGAAGGACAGACGTCCTGGTCAGATGACAGAATGATTCATGAACATGGGGAGGACAAAGGAGCCCAGGACACTGCGTGCTGTTGCCTGAACACAGTGTTTCCACTGAGACTCGTGTCACCGCTGGGCCCCAGCATGGCGGTGCCTTGAGAGCAGCGGGGGCCTTTCAGACAGATCAGTGCATTTCGTGCAGGCGTGAGTTCCCTTGGGACCGAGTGGCTGTCCTGAGAGCAGGTGACAGCACAGCAGGCCTGGCTACCTCCTGTGGCCTCTGCACACTCCAGCTTCCCCTCCTACTTCTCTGCCATGTTGTGACACTACCAGGGGACCTTGCCAGCCACCAGCAAACCTGTTTTTTTTACACACCAACCAGCTTCAGGCATTTTGCTACAGCAACACAGAGCCACCCGGTGCCAGCACCTCTCCTGTGTCACCCTCCCAGCCTCTACCCCGTGTGACCCTGGGCCATTTGTTCACTCGGAGCGTTAACAGCTCTCGAAAGTCCACAACCCCAGTGGCGGTCACACTTGCTGCCCAGTGTGATGTGACAGCAGGACAGACCTGTTAATCTCCGTGTTCCAGGCTCAGCTCAGACCTCGGGTGGCAACTGGTAGAATTCGCCACTTCTTCTTTTCCCTCCCTACAGAAGATAAAAGACCTGGCAGGAAGAGATTAAATGGGAGCTGGCACAAATGTGGCCGATCCATCTCACGGGCTGATTTGTCCAGAGAAAGAAGGAAGCAAAGCCGCGTGGCAAGGATTTGTGCTCAGAATCGGGGACTTGCTGAGAACCGTGACAATTTAAAGACAGACTCCACTCCCGACAACCAATAAGCGAAACCAGTGAGAAAGCTCCTTCCTGCAGCTGGTGCTCATGACAGAGGGTGACACGAGGCCATCCCAGGGGCTGGGGGCTGGGGACACTGTGGATGAGGGGAGCCAGCCCATACCACGTGTCCCTGTCTCTTTCTGTCACTCTTTGGGGACACCTCGTCTGGAAGATGAGGATTTTCAGGTTTCTGCAGCACTGGCTGCTCTGCAAACCTCTGTTACACCAGAGCCATCAGTCACCTCCCTCGTAGCTGCCAGGCTCAGGACCCACGAGGACTTAATCTCTCTCTCTCTCTCTCAATTTCTCTCTCAACTCAAGTGCCAGTGGCTTTCAATCTTTGGAAGGTACTAGAAGCTTTTCCCAATAAAAAAGAACATTACCGTTTTCTCAATTAATGGAACCCGAGGAAGGACAATTTCCTTAATTGTCAGAAGGCTCGTCACCATTATGAACCTTACGTGTGCGTGTGGCGGTGTGCGTCTGTCACCACGGGAGGCTCTCGCAGCCCAGAAAAGCAAGGCCCGCGGGAGCCATAAGTGCT